TTAGGCATGAAAACCGGCTGGGTGACTGGGCCAATCACCAGGAGACGTTGAGTTCTAGTCCCGCCTTAACCATGAAAGCCAATTGGATGACTTTGGGCCAATCACCAGGAGTTGGTGAGTTCCACCCCCTCCCACTTTGTTGTGAAAGCTGTCAATCCCCGTCTCCCAGCCTACCCCATCTGACAGTTGCTGTGGGCAAACTAGGAGGAAGGGAGTATTAAGTATATATAAAAATAAATAAAGACAAGATAGAAAAGCTAAATAAAATTAAGAAATAAAAATAAATTTAAAAAAAGAACCTGTCTCCTTCCTCCTCATCTACCACATCGCCTCTGGGATTGAGTGGTAGGGAATGGACCAAAGATGCTCAGGGAATCCCTGTGAATTTTTTTGGGGGGGGAGCAGAACGCTGGGTTTCCCAGCTCCTAGTCCAGCCCCTTCCCCACTGCCCCACACGACTCTCAGGATCAATATTCCGATTGGAGAGAAAAATATCTTCATTGTGCCCCTCGGTGCTCCGAACAAAATCCAATAGCTGTCAGGGTTCCAAGTAACCCACCCCTAGCAGGTAGATTCCTCAAAGAACACCTTTATTGGGAGATATCGTATTGGCACAGGCTGGTGAAAACCAACTCTGAGAGTTCCCGTGGTTTTCACCTCGCATATTTTTCTGTTCTGACCCAAAACCTTTGAAGGATTCTCAACAAATTCCCTTCCTTCCCGGTTAAAAGGCTGTTTCAAACTCATTGCCTCTGATAAGAACGAGCCTTGCCAAGGTGGTGCAAGGCTGCCAAGAACAACAGGTACAGTTGCCAAGAAATAGTTCAAACCCAAAGAGTCTCCAAACACCAACTAAGAGAGTCTAAAAGTCCGCAAGGCTCGATGTTATGTCCCACCTTCAAAAGCAAATAAGTAACGCCGAAAGCAATCGTCCTCAAAAGCAAAACAAACGAAGAAGATAACAGCTGCTATTATTCACAGTCTACAGCACATTAATCCTGGCTTAAATCCACAAAAATCTCCGAGCTTTGACCGTTGCTTCTCCAGGTAAATTAAACGCTTTGTTCCTGACAAATTTTCAAACTCAGACGGATCCTTTTATAGTTATTAGGTCAACAGTTAATTTCCTTAATTACTCCCTTGACCTTCTCCTGCGTTCCAGCTGGCCTTGCCTCTTAAAGCGGCATCTATTCCTAACATCTAACCAACAATTCTCCAAGTTCTCGTCTCCACTTGAAGACTCTCTTAAAACTTCTCTGTCAGCCATTCCCGGCTGATGATCAGATACTGAACCAGAGGAGGTCGAAGGTCCTGACCCTTCTACTAAATCAGGTCTGTCCTCTCTTGTCACGTCCATCTCCTCTTCCTGATTATCATTCCAATCACTGAGCCCTGCTGGCTCATATTTCTCTGCCATGTCCTCCTCACTTGAGCTCATATCAGCCACAGAAGCTAAATTCAAGTCCGGAGCCACAACAGCTCGAGTGCAAAAACGTCTTTGCTTCCTGCAAAGAACTCCGGTTTCTCAGCTGGCTTTTATCCCTTAAGGGAGGGGCCATTACTTTGCGGCCTTTCTCCTGAGTCGCCCGTGCTGCTGCAGCCGCTCTTTCCTTCCAGCAGCCCTGCACTGGGCACAGGCTCCTCGGGGGCCTCTTCCTCACTGCTACCAGCCTCCACCATCTCCGAAGGCAGCACTCCACTCCCTGATGGTCCTGGCCATCCATCCCTGCCTCCCACGCAGGCCCCTCATCCGAGTCCTCACTCTCCGAGACCTCAGTCGTCTGCACCCGCTGCCGGCGAACCACAACATTTTCTAACTATAAGACGCACTTTTTTCTCCCCCCCAAAAAAGTGAGTGGAAATGTTTGTGCGTGTTATACAGCGAATATGGGCCTTTTTTTTTGGCCTTCCGAGACCTCTGCGTGTCCCGTTTTTGGCCTCCCTGACGCCCGAGGGCAAAAACGGGACCCCCGGAGGCCTCTGGGATGCTCCTCCTCGGGGAGGAGACAAATGGGATGTGCAAAGGCAAAAAACTATATTTTTTTCTTGTTTTCCTCCTCTAAACCTAGGTGCGTCTGATGGTCCGGTGCGTCTTATAATCCAAAAAACACGGTAATTTAAAAATGTAAGTTTCCCTTTCCCCCAAACAGTCCCATTGTCCAACATACGTGATGGCAGCTTGCCTGATTACTTCTCTTTTCTCCAGCCAGCGGTTGGAACGTCCTTCCTTCCCAGGAAAAAGTATTTTCTTTTGGCTACACAACCCCAGCTATCTCTATTCCACACATACACACACCCTCTTCCTATCCCTCAGCTCCAGTGTGTTGACAATAGCACCAAGCAAGATAAGATGCCATTCAACACAATTAGCACATTGAAAAGGCGAAGAAAAGGCAACTGCGGTTTCCTTTGGAACCATGTTAGGGAGGCAGTTGGGGATCTACCTACCTTGGGCTTCCATGAGGTTGCTGACTTTCCCTTTGAGCTCCTTCTGCAATTTTGCAATTTCTTCCTCCAACAGCTCTTGATCTGTGGAAAAAGACAAGAGAAGCAACCCTTAGTGAGATTGAAAGCCCACACAGATGCCTGCTGGAATTTTCCATGAATTAATTCAAATTAACTGCATTAAGTAATTCAGATTAATTCCATTAGCTGGTTCAAATTGCATTAATTAATTTGAATTCATTCCATGGATTCAAATTGCATTAATTCAAATTGATTCCATTAAATAATTCAAATTGATTCCATTAATTGATTCAAATTAATTCCATGGATTCAAATTCCACTAATTGATTCAAATTAATTCCATTGGTTCATTCAAATTAATTCCACTGATTGATTCAAATTAATGGAATTAATTCAAATTAATTCAGGTAGCTATTTGTTTAG